CCCAGTTGCTGCCCTCCAGCCATTCTGCTCCCCTACCCTTCCCTAATTTGTTTCTGTGGTGACAGTGTTCAGTATTTTTTTTTAAATTAATCTTGCTGACTTTCCGTACCAAATGTAAGCCAAACAATAAAGTCAAATAACAATCACTATTTATCTCTGAAGCAATGTGTGTGGTTTTGGAGTTGGAGCTTAGTTTGGGTTGTAAGAAATATAAGAAGAAGAAGCAGGAATTTTCAAGTTCTGAACTGGCTTCTGCCCCTGGATTTGCTCTGTCTCCTTCCTTTGCCTTAGTATTTTCTCTGGTCCCATAAAGAACAGGGAAGAACTACACAGCTCACAGATTATTAACTCTAGAAAAGTCATTCTAAAGCTGAAGCTGGATGGTTGACTACAAGAAGTGTGTGCAGACTTTGCACGGGTAATTAAACAAGTGCTCTGTGGCTGACCGTCCTACTGCCACATGGAACCCTCCTGTGAGGCGGCCCTGGTGAGGAGTGCTGGTCCAGAATACGACAATACATGTGAGCAGGGGCAGCAGGGCTGGGGACAGAGAAAACCAGTGGGTGCACATGTTGCAGAGATGGTGCCAGGAGCTGTGCTGTTTTCCTTTAAAAAAGAAAAAAGTGAAATAAGTATATTTTCATGTTTAAGAAAATCCTGATGCTTTTTCCATATTGGAATCTTTTGGGGATGTTAAGAGATAGAAGCAGTGGACGGTCCCCTGTGTAGTTTTGCCCATTAGTCCACAGACAACATGTCGTCTCAAAGACCCCTGTAGGGACTTACTTGTGTAAAACTTACAGTGGGAAGTTCTGTATACCCAGGATTTAACAACAAAGAAGACTGGATAAACCCTAAAGGGTAAAGTGAAGTAAGCCAGTCACCAAAAGATAAATTCTGGATGATTCCAGGTGATACTTAGGGTAGTCCAATTCCTAAGACAGAAAGTAGAATGGTCTTTGCCAGGCTGGGACTGGGGGAAGCAGGAGTTATTGTTTAACAGGTACAAAGTTTCACTGTGGGATGATGAAAGTTCTGGAGGCATGGTGATGAAGGTTGTACAAAAAAGGGAATACACTTAATGCCACTTAATTGTACATTTGAAACTGGTAACTGTTATGTTATGCATATTAATTGCAAATTTAAAAAATGAAGTGAGTCAGGGTAAGGAAATAAGCGGAGGTAGTAAAATGAGTGGAATGGATATTTTTTCCTGTCTGTTGAGCTCAGAAAAAGAATATAATAAGATTCTGACTTTTTGTGTCCTTTTTGGCTATATAAGCTATGATTATTTCCTCTCTCCCTCCTTACTTTCTCTGGGAATAGCAAAACGGGAAAAGGATCTTTAGCTCCAAGTACAGAAAGGGCAGCAGAAATAATCTTGTCTCATTCCAAATAGGTTTTCTTCACTGCCTGTATGGCCATCTTTTTACCCTACTCCTGTCTAAATAAGACAGCTGAATCTGACTAAAATATCACAGCAGGCTTAGGCATCTTTCATTATAATAAGGACTCAATAAGTAATACCTGTGGGCTGGGTGCAGCTCACAACAGTAATCCCAGCACTTTGGGAGGCTGAGACAGGAGGGCTGCTTGAAGCCAGGAGATCAAAACCAGTCTGGGTAACATAGCAAAACCTCATCTCCACAATAATAATAATAATAATAAGTTAGCCAGCACATTGGTGTGCTTATAATCCTAACTGCTTGGGAGGCTGAGGCAGGAGTATTGCTTAAGCCCAGGTGTTCAAGGCTGCGATGAACTATGATCGTGCAACTGCACTCCAGCCTGGAAAACAGAGTGAGACCATGTCTCTAATAAAACAAACCTATGAAAATTGAAATTTTGCCTTTTTACAAAATATATATTTCACAAGGAAACTCTTTTACCTGCTAAATGAGAATCGATGGAGAGGCTCTCCCTAAACGCAAGGCCTCCCTGCGCTGTCTTTATACATTTGCACTGCCCAACAGGCAAGATAGACAGAATAATATTTTGAGATTAAGTTATCTTTCCCCTAAGATTTTCTCTTTTCCAATTTCTTCATTTACACAATTTAGCTGAGCATGTTTTTTATTGAACTGGGAGAAATTTGAGGCAGAACACTATGGAAACAGTCCCAAGGAGAGTTTGTGACCTGTAGGCTCAATTTGTCCTCAGATAAGCTGGGTTTTGACCCTCACAATATTGATCTGTATAATGTTTTGCGGAAATTTAAATTTGTAGAGGTTTAAATATTGGAAGAGTTCAAATAATCTGGGTTCTGGGCTTTTCTTTCAAAATGTGACAAAACCTCAAGCAACTGTGTTTACCTACTTGACAACAACCAGCTGGAGCTGAACTGCAGCTGCTGCATTTGGGATGATGTATTAATTAGGATAATGGGAGCCTCCGTACCTAATAGCCACTCAGATATCAGTAGCATAGCAAAAGAAGTTGATTTCTTACTTACAGATGTCACATCCAGTGCAGGTAATTCGGAGACAGAGGACTCCTTCCCCGCCATGTCTCCATCATCCACGAGGGTCAAGTCTTCCATTTTTGGCCTGTGGAATGGGAGAAAGAAAGCGGAGAAGCACACCCCTTTCTCAGTTGTCTTGACCTAAAAGTGAAACACATTCATTTGGTTCACATTCCCCTGGGGGACCCAGTGGTGTGGCTCACCCAGATGCAAAGGAAGCTAGAAATGGGGAGCCTATCAGGGAAGCCACTTCCTATCTTTTTTTTTTTTTGCAGTTTTTGGCCGGAGCCAGGTTTGAACACGCCACCTCTGGCATACGAGGCCAGTGCCCTACTCCTTTGAGCCACAGGTGCTGCCCCCGCTTCCTGTCTAATTCTAACCCATGGCCAGGGGACCACAAGTGTGTGGTGAACACTTGCACCTCCGCCACAAATGGGCATGTGCACTCAGCTCGCCACAGTCCCTGCTACTTGTCTGACATCCCTCAGTGGCTCCTGGAGGCATTTGAGTTTGTGGCTGTGGTTTAAGGTGTTCATGGACAAAGTGTGGAAAAAAAAAAAGGGAGATGAATTTTTCTTGAGACTGAAAAAGAGATTCCCCTGAGCTGTCAGGAAGAGAGAGGCAGGGTCCTGGGGTTTGGGGGCTGAGAGTATGTGTGACCTGTCTCTCTGAAATAGGGTCTTGGAAATTATAGGACCCAAGTGAGGAGTGGCTGTGGAGCATGTCTTAGCAGATGAGTCAATAGCCACCCCCATGCCATCCCAAACCCCCGGTGCCACTTGTGAGACATAGAAGTAGTAGAGCTAGTCAATTGAGGCAGCACTGTAAATCTAGGCAATGGAAACAATTCAGCCACATTTTCTGGGACAGAGGATCAAACAGATGTGTGGACCCTTCTCCCAACCCACTCCCTGAATCTGTATAAATAAATCCCTGGGGCTAGGGACTCTGGGAGGGATGAAGGTGAACTCCCTTACTTCCCCATACAGCAGCTGCTAGGGGTCTAAACCGAGTAATTATATAAAGTTGGTAGATATGTGACACTTCTTTCAAGCCCAAGTTTATGGGCTGAGTCATACTCTGTAGTCAATTTCATAATTTTCTTTCTTTTTGGGGGGGGGGCAGAGTCTTACTCTGTTGCCCTGGGTAGAGTGCAGTGGCATAACTCACAGAAACCTCAAACTCTTGGGCTTAAGTGACTCTTACCCTACCCTCCCAAGTAGCTCAGACTATAGGTACCCGACCCAAGGTCTGGTTAGTTTTTCTGTTTTTAGTAGAGACTGGTCTTGCTCTTGCTCACTCTGGTCTCAAACTCCTGAGCTCAAGTGATCCACCTGCCTCGCCTCCCAGAGTGCTTAGGACTAACAGGCATGAGCCACTGCGCCCAGCCCCAATTTTGTAATTTTCTTAAGGAATTTCCAGTGGTGAGGAAGGCAGTGACCTTGTTCATTTTGGCTTTTTCTATAAACTTTGCCCTCCAACTCCCAAACCCAAAGCTGGACCTCTGGACCCAGCCCCATCCGCCCACATACTCAAGACTAAAAGCAAACAAAAGCCAAAACCCTGTGAGATTACAAGCTTGCTCAAACTGGGGTAGTTGCACCGTGAATATTCAATTTTACTCAAAGACATGGAAAAATCTTTTATTATTAAAAGAAACTAGGTCAAATTATGGAGTAGAATGCAAAATTCACATTTAAAAGACACGATGAAATTCCAGACTTGAAGAAAACTTTTTTTGCAGAGAAAGGGGCCTCCCTGTTTCAGAATCCATGTGGGTCTCCACTGGAGTTCTTTTGGAAACAACTGTGTGAAAAGTCTGAGCAGCTCTAGCACTGTGCCAGGCCTGGCTGCGAGCCACCTTCTTCTGGCTTAGGCAGCTGGTAGCTATGGTACCGCGTTCCTGTTGATATCTCCTCACGTTTCTAAACGCACAGCTTGTCAGTGTGGGCGCAACTTGAGAGCTGCAGCCAGGTTCCAGCTCACTTGTTTCACAAAGGAGGAAATGGAGAATCAGCGACTTTAGAGGACTTAGTGAGGGGGCACTCAGGCCCCCCAAGCCAGTGCTCCTCTTTGCGTCCTTGGCCACCTCTATTCTTTCATCCTGTGCAAGTACAGAGAACCTTATCTACTCTCAAGTCCTTGCTTCACCCTGCGCTTTCATTCGGGGAAAAGTTTGGGGAATTAATGTCTGCTGGTTCAGGAACAAATGTATCCGGCTGAGAGAGGGGAAGGTTCAGTGTCGGAGAGCCGGAACTGGCCTGATGGAGGGCTCAAAAGCGCGAACTTATGTTGGCCGGGGCAGCCTCTTCCCGCCGCCCAAGATGCCCAGAAGGGCGCCCGCCGAGCGGGCAGGATGTTGCAATCTCCGCACGCCTTGCATTGACCGAAAAGGGGGCTGGAACAGTAAACGCAAGGAGGAGCAACTGCTCTCGGACTCGCTCCAGAGCGCGACCAATGAGGATGCGAGCTCCTTCATGCCAGCCAATCAGCGCAGGGTCTGAGACGGCGCAGGTCAATGGGGTGTCACCTCGGCTCTGGTACAAGGCAGGGGTCGGTGCTCGCCATAGACTTGCGCTGCGGTGACCCAGAACGCTCGCAGTTATCGCGTTCACTACTGCTTGGTTCACTCGCCACCTTTGCAGCTGCAACATGGACGCGACTAGTCACGTTGTCAACTTCGGGCCGGGGCCTGCCAAGCTGCCGCGCTCGGTAAGTCCCCGCGAGCGCGCGCCGGCAGTGCCATCCGGGGAGAGCACGCGCGCGCTTGAGTTCGCATCTCTGCACCCTCCGGGCACTGGGACCTCCACTTCCCGCCGCGGGGCTCCCGCACGCTTTGCTGTAGCGAGCGCGCCGCGTACAGTAGCTCTCGCGAGCGGGCTGTGGAAGAATGCGGCTGGTGAAGGAGCTCGGCTAGGCGTGCCGGTGCAGCTGCCCTGGCCCCGACTGCCGGTGCGAGGCGTGCACGAGTCGGCCCGCCGGAGCCGCGCACCTGTAGACCCGGGGCTGTGCCTCGTCCAACACCGGTTGGGCCGAGGGCGGAGGCGCGGCCGAAAAACAAGGGTTTCTTCTGTGCGTTTGCGTTGCACAGCTGGGCTTGGAGCCCGGGCAGTGTAGAATGGGTGCAGGGATGGACAAGATGCGATTGATGACTGGAAATGAATGGATGGTAGCTTTTGCATACGGCAGTGGATCACGTTAACTGAGGGGGTTGTAAGCTGAAGGCCCGCGTGCCAGCCCCCCTGGCTCCCCGCCACGGACCCCCCGCCCCCCAGTGTTTAGTTTACGCAGCACTTACAACACTGAGTAAAAACGTAAATTTGAAAGCCTTCCTTTAGGGTATTCCCTTCTTTGTCCCCCAGTAAACGACTCTTCTTTTAATCCTCTCTCCCCCACCCTTTTAAAAACCTGCTTATCCCCGAAAGGCGTTCAAGTATTCACACAGTGGTAGGCGTTGGGCTGCTTAACTCAGTTCTGTCCACTTTTTTCTGGAGCAAAAGGAATGGTTGTATTCTCCCCCGGCTACGATAAGACTTTGCAAGCGCAAGGGCAACTCACTCCTGGCCCTCCCAGCCCCTCACCGGGCCCAGGCTCCTCCCCTGTACCCCCCAACACCCACCCTTCCGAGCCTCACCCGCTGTGAAGAAAGCAGCGTCTCTGAAGTGTCTTGACAGGCTGCTGCCACCCCTGCCACCTAATTTTATTTTTCTAACCAGGATGAAGCTGATAATAAGTTGTAACAGCATGGGGCAAAGCCAAGTATTTTACAATTATAAATTGTTGAACAGGGCAGAAATTTCCCTGGGATAGAGCTTCCTTTGTATTGTGGTAAGAACAGACAATCTTACCATTTTAGAGGGAAAGGCTAATTTGCCTTTCTAGGGGCAGCACTCACATTAGCTGAGAGAAAACAAGGATGATTATTTCTCACTTTTTACGGTTCATTTTAGGTGAGATTTTTTTTGCTCCAATTGTGGAAACATTTCCTGTAGCCACCCCCCCCCCCCCCATGTTTTGGAGTCTTCCAAATATTTGTTCCCTGTGTATTTTGTTACTAATTTGTTATAATGGCAATTGTCATCACTAGTACAATTATTTCTTTTTATTTTCCTGGGAGGATTTTTGCCCTCAGATGCTCTGTAATAGGTGGTGGTGGTGGGGTGGTGATTTAGATGAATAGTAAAAATTAGAGAAGTTTTCAAACTTTTTTGACACTATACTGTAGCCTTTTACTTGTGACATACACTATTTTGTATTCTATTCTGCTCTGGTTTGTTCTATTTCATTACAGAAATTAGTTGTGATCCACAAAAGTGATTGCATTCTGCAGTTTGGAAAAAAATCCTACTGGATTGGAGGTGGGGGAAATGTGTTTTTTTAAGTAGAAATCTCTAAAAGTCCTTGTAATGATTCTGGTTATAAAATTCTATACATTTCCAGGAATATTATCCATAAGAAAAATATAGTCTCAGGACAAGTTCAAAGATGATTCCTTCACAGATGTTACTGTTTTCTGAAGGAGTCACTAAGTTTTGTTTAATTAACCAGTAATAATAAGCATCCAGTATTTTGAAAAAAGAATGAAATCAGATCTAACAATTAAGTTCAAGAACCATCCTAGAAAAAGTGCTGAATACCTCATTGCTGGATATCACTATGGTCACCTTTGAAGTACTCCCCTTGGTAAGCTATGCACTGATGCCAGTGCCTAGTCCACCCTTCAAAAAAATTTTGGAACTCTTTTTCTGAAGTGACCCTCAGAGCTATCATCATGCGGCACATAAGAACATGCAACAACAATAATGATACACTCAGCAAGACACCACCACATGTCCAGACAAACACAGCTGTGAGACTGATATACCAAGGTTATGAAACCTTACTGATTTGTTTGTATAGTGCTGCCAACATAAGCAAGTTTGTGAACATTAATTATCAGACCTGATAAAATGACGGCTCTGATGGTCATTCCAGAAAGTGAGTTCCAAAATTGCTTTGAAGAGTGGACTAGGTGCTGCATTGGTGCATAGCTTCCCAAGGGGAGGACTTTGAAGGTGACTATAGTGATATTCAGCCATGAGAGGTATGTAGCAATTTTTCTAGAATGACTTTACAAACTTAATTGTTAGCTTGTACATTTGTGAATCAAATTGTCAAGATCCTATTTTGTTTTTCAGAGACGTTGCAATCCAGTTTAGCTTATTCCTGTGTTTTAGTGATGTCCTCCTTAGATGGCATCTTTAAAAAAAAAACCATCTCACGTTTGTAGATCTCATCTGGGGGGTTGCTTTTACTGAGAATTTTTTTGCACTTATTTTGTGTTCATTTGTAAAGCTTTTCTTTTTCTCTTTTATTGTGGAAAATTTCACATATATAAAGACAGAGTATAGTGAACCTCCAAGGACCCATCTCTATCAACATTTTGCTAAACTTGTTGCAGCACACTGGCACAGACCTGGGTAGAGCGCCATGGCATCACAGCTCACAGCAACCTCCAACTCCTGGGCTCAAGTGAGTCTCCTGTCTCTGCCTCCCAAGTAGCTGGGACCCCAGGTGCCCACCACAATGCCCGGCTATTTTTTATTTTTTTTGGTTGCAGCCGTCATAGTTGTTTGGTGGGCCCAGGCTGGATTCGAACCTGCCACCTTAGGTGTATTTGGCTGGCGCCTTAGCTGCTTGAGCCACAGGGGCCGAGCCACTGGCACGGATCTTAATTTACAGTGAGCTCTTCCTTCCTGCCTACCCTGCCTGTCTCAGTCTAGCATCTTAGACCAAAAGAGATAGGAAAATTGAATTATGTGTGTAATTTGGTATAACTTTTTTTGTTGTTCCCAGAACCCAGAACTTTATGCACTTTGTACTTGATTTAGCTTTAGGAGAGTGGTGAATGAAATTTGGGAAGAGGACATTTTCTAGGGAATTAGTAAATTCATGCCTTTGGAAAATGTGCATCTTCACATCTTCACATGTTGCTTAATTTTATGCTCAATTTGTTTGTAAGTTGCATCATCACAGGCTTTGTGGGAAGAGGGGGAAGAAGGGGACTGGCTGTGGACAGGGACAGAGGGGGACCTTACTGATGTGTGAGTAACCTCCTCCCCTCCTTAGGTTTGTGTGTACAGAGGGAAGGATGTGCACAGCACATTGAAATCAGCTTCTTTTATTTTTTTTCCTAGGTGTTGTTAGAGATACAAAAAGAGTTATTGGACTACAAAGGAGTTGGCATTAGTGTTCTTGGTAAGATTTATTTTTGAATTCTGTGAATGTCCAGATTTCAAAGGGAACTAACTTAAATGCATCAAGCTTAGAATTTTTATAGGGTCTTCCTATGGTCCTTTGAAGATAAATTTTTAACCCTTAATAACTTGAGTTGCATGTTTGATAGACACAGTTTTGAAAACAGCATATATGCTGGTAAGAGGTTAAGACACCTCTGCCCTACCCTATCGTGACTGGTTTTATTAACCATAGGATCTGGGATCAGAAGGTGTACATTTGCATAACAGTGCTCCCAGACTTATAATATTGCTTTATTTTCAATTTGTGTTTTTAATAAACTTAAATATAACCCTATTAGGCTTGGTGCCCATAGCTCAGTGAGTAGGGAGCCAGCCCTGCCCAGGCCTGCTAAAGAACAATGACAACTGCAACCAAATAAAGAATAGCAGGGCTTTGTGGTGGATGCCTGTAGTCCCAGCTACTCGTGAGGCTGAGGCAAGAGAATCACTTAAGCCCAAGAGTTTGACGTTGCTGTGAGCTGTGACGCCATGGCACTCTACCCAGGGCGACATAGTGAAACTCTGTCTCAAAAAAAAAACCAAACCAAAACCCGATTAAAGTTTAAAAGTATTTAAACCTTTTCTGCACCTTAATGATTTCATTATTAAGCATCTCTCCCCGATGTTATAGAGGAAGAGGACTTTTGTGTTCTCAAATATGCTTTCTTTTATTTAGGGTTTCTTTTTTTTTTCTTGGTAATTCCAAAGTCTGCATGGCATTAAGAGACCATAGGGTGAATTGTATTGCTTGTTTCTGTTATATTTTGTTCCTGTGGGTTTGGGACATATACTTTGATTTCTGTGATGTGACAGCATAGCATGGAATTTTGTGCTCTTGTTGTAAAGGGCAACCATTGCACATGGATTCCTTTGGGTGAGAGAGGGATGGTAAGAAGAGTTACAGAGAACATCAAAGAGTGATGGGTTAATAAACAGCTTGGTTAGTAAGCTGCCACTAGAAAAGTCGGTCATGCCATGACTATAAGGCTTAGGTGTTGGCAGTTTGAAAATCCGTCTACATTATTCCCTCAACTGGTACCTTGGCCCACAATTTGCAGAATTAACTACAATTGGCCTATATGATTTACTTGTAACTTTTATAATTATTTTCATCCATTTGGTTTTGAACTGAAACTTTCTTTGTTGTTTATCTCTCCTTTCACAGAAATGAGCCACAGATCTTCCGATTTCGCCAAGATCATTAACAACACAGAGAATCTCGTGCGGGAATTGTTGTAAGTTTATAAAAGACGAAGTTTTGTTACTTTTGTTTGATAGTCCCTAAACCTAGGTGTCTGTTACATTATTTTCTATTCCAGTTCTTTCAAGATTCTCCCCAATTCCTTGTTAGAACATAGTGCCTTTCTGTTTGTTTCCTGCCTGTGCTATTGTTTTTGTTTTTATTTTATGTGGCATTTCTAAAGATTTGAAACCATTGTATCCAGGAAAGACTTTTCAGCACTGTGGAAGTTAAACTGGCTGGAAAGGAGTTAAATGAGAAAAAGTCATCTTTTTTGGCAGAATTGAATGTGAACCAGTTCAAGGGGTCTTAAAGTATGGGTCTCAGAAGACCTGTCAGAGACATCTGGCTGTGGGGGGGATATTTAAAAATTCCACTGTTGGGTTCCACCCAGACCTGCTGAATCAGAATCTCTGGAGAAAGTTTATTTTTAACAGGCTCTTTGGGTTAAACGATGCCTCGTAGGTTACCTGCACTGCCTTTCCTACCCAGAGGATACCTTATTCTTAAATAGATTGCTGTTTAAAGGAGAGGTTTTAAATGCACCTACACCCACGAACATAGTAAGCTTGAAAATAAATCACTTTCTTGTTGCTCACACAAAAAATGTGCATTCATGTTAGAAAGTTTAGAAAAGAACTGACACAAACTGGAGTTACCTATAGCTCCACTAGTCAGGGATAATCATTAACATGGTAGTGTCCATTCTTGCATTATTTTGTTAGCAAAGTTTGAATTGTACTGACTTTTCTGTAACTTTCCTTTTCAAATTGCCTTGATAACGTGATTTGGAGGGGGCAGGCTCAGTGATAATTCTGTGAAGAGTAGACGCCTGCTGCAGTGTGAATGTTCAGAACTAGGAGTCATCTGCTGGGCTTCCCATGCCTGTCCTTCAGGGAGGAGTGATTTGGAACCTCAGCCTGGGAGAGGTGGAATTTGACACATGCCTGTGGGCCTCTTCTGATTGGAGTGCTACTTTAATTTATGAGCCTGTCCTCTCCCAGCCATGTTCCTACCTTGTACCCTTGTACCTAGGTCTCAGTCTACTTTCCTTCCATCCACTTCTTATCTTTGTTAACTGCCCTGTATCTGAGTACCATAAATCTGGAATGCTGCTAAGAGCCTCATGATTAGAGTTCCTAAGAGCTGCTGGCTGCTTCACTGTCCTACTGAGCAGAGGATATATACCAGGCATCTTTCAGACAAGATATTTAGGTACCTACCCTGTTCCCCAAGATCCTGCCACCTTGTCCTCCTCTTTATTCTTTTACCTATGTGTCTGGGAGCTCTGTTCTCCTCGTCAGCTGGTCTGCCTTGTGCATCCCTGTTTCCAAAGTCTGACCTCACCCAAAGAGTCAGGTCTGGTTTCTGTGGCCTGTCATCTACCCGCTGTGGCCATTCTAATCATCATCTTAATTTTCCATCTTGGAGCCAAAGAATTTTGCTTTTTATCTTGATGTGTGTTGGTGTGTGATTTCATGACTAGGCCTAAAACATTATCAAAAATCCCTGCCCAGTGGCCATTTGTCCATAGCATGGTGCTCAACACCTAAATACTCCCAGGATTTTTGGTTTCAAGTGACAGGATTCCAACTTATAGGCTTAACGGGAATGTATTATCTTCTGTGTTTGCTTCACTAGGAGGCCACCAGTGGTTGCAGGATTAGCTTCTAAATGTTTTCTTTCCCTCAGTAGAAACAGCTCTTTTTGCCCAGAAGTTTGGGCAAAGGTCTCAGCATCAAATCCCATTGGCCAGTTTGGGGCCGGTGCTCACCCCGTTGAGCCGGGTTTGGCCACAGTTGAACCACTGAGAATGGCAGAGGGGTGATGTCCTATGAGAACATTGGGGTCTTGTCACTAGGCAAAGGAGGGAGAGCTGGTCAAACAGTAACCACAAGCTTCAGTCACAGTCCCGAGTGAATAGTTGTCCAAGGAATGAATAGATAAATGCTTGAATTAGAGAAGGCAAAATAGTAGTGGAACTTTATTTTATTTCTTGTCATAAATCCACCCTGGATAAAACACTTGGCAGAGCATTGCTCATTCTCAGTCTTTGACAACGTGAGTCTGTATTTACTGTCACCTGTGCTTCTGCTCAGAGCTGTTCCAGACAACTACAAGGTGATTTTTGTGCAAGGAGGTGGGTGCGGCCAGTTCAGTGCGGTTCCGTTAAACCTGATTGGCCTGAAGGCAGGAAAGTGTGCTGACTATGTGGTGACAGGAGCTTGGTCAGCCAAGGCTGCAGAAGAAGCCAAGAAGTTTGGGACTGTGAATATCGTCCACCCTAAACTTGGGAGTTACACCAGTAAGTTCTGGGAGCTGAGCTGGAGAGTGAAATGCTGGCTGGTGGGTTATCCCTGCTCAGGGTAGTCAGCAGTTATTAATAATTTCCCTTGTCGGTAGTTAATTCATTCCATTTAGATTTGGTAGCTGTACTAGTTAAGACTACTAACCAGCTTTTGCAAAAAGAGTTCTCTTTAGGCTCGCTTAGCTGCAAAGCCCTGGGCTGGTTTGGCTTTAGGTGTTTAATCAGGGGTGTCTCCTTGTCTCTCCCATGGTGGCTCCACAGTCAGGGAAGCTGCTCCCCCTCTTTCTTGGAAGATGGCTACAACTGCTCCCAACCTTATATTCTCCCAAGTTTCATTGCCTTTGTGGAGCATTCCCTGGAACAGTCTCATGTCTCCTGTGCCGTAATATGAATCAACCACTGTGGCCATGTCTGAGCCATCTGCTGCCTCTGGGCTGTGGGTTTAATTGGCTTCACAGGAATCACATGTGCTGAAAGTGGGCGAGAAGAAAGGACTAACCCAGTGGTTCTCAATCTGTGGGTCGTGACCCACGGGAACTGTATTAAAGGGCCACAGTATTAGGAAGGTTGAGAACCACTGGACTAACCCATCAGTGGATATGGGACAGAGTGATGCTAAAACCCCCCAAACATCCCCCATGCTTTAAAAAAAAAACTTATTTTATTTAGAGACAGGGTTTCACTGTTGCACAGGCTGGAGTGCAGTGGCTGTTCACAGGTGTGACCATAGTGTACTACAGCCTCAAACTCTTGGGTTCATGTGATCCTCCTGCCTCAGCTTACTCAGTAGTGGGGACTACCAGTGTGTGCCACCACATCCAGCTTCCCATGTCATTTTAAAAGATTATTTGCACCTGGTAATAGTCAAAGGGTAGGCTTGATCATCCTTTTGGGATGTTGGTGGTGATGATGGTGAGGACTAGTAGGGTGCTTTTATTTGTGAAGTGCTTTGGAGTAAGTCTTTCACCGCTGGGGGAGGTGTCAGTTTCCTGGCTGACTGTCACCTACATAAAAAAAGAGAAGTGTAAAACTGTGAAGTCTCAAACTTGTCTTCTTTGATAGAAATTCCAGATCCAAACACCTGGAACCTCAACCCAGATGCCTCCTATGTCTATTATTGTGCAAATGAGACGGTCCATGGGGTGGAGTTTGACTTCATACCTGATGTCAAGGGAGCAGTGCTGGTTTGCGACATGTCCTCAAACTTCCTGTCCAAGCCAGTGGATGTTTCCAAGGTAGAGTATGAAAGAGGGCGAGTGGGGGGAACCCAGTGATTCTGTTTCTTTAGGGGCATTTTTATTCAAGAACAGGAATGACCATGAGTGTCTTGGGCCGGCAGAGCCCCCTGAGCCAGGGCAGCTGTCAGTGAGCAGGCTGAGGAAATGCTTTAAGTCCTGGTATTCCCAGCCTCAGAATAACGTCTGCTCCCCAGAGTCACACTCAAGTCTTAGGGAAACTACTTGCCTTTGAGAGTGGCACATAGAAACATTCGTGGCCAACACATTGAGAGTGACATGTTCTCTTCAAGGGCAACGACACATTATCCAAGCTTGAGGGACCTACAGGGAGCCCCCTTATGTTAACCACCTTAATTCCAAAAGTGTCAAGGGGGCCCACAGAGTTTACGAGTGGCTCACCAAGGTGGGGTTCTGGGACCAGTGCAACCAGGTGCATATAACGGGGCAGTAATGTCTGTGAAGAATTTATAAACAGCAGTTGAACCATCTCACTAGTCTGCCTTTTTATTTTTTATTTTTGAGACCGAGTCTCAAGCTGTTGCCCTGGGTAGAGTGCCATGGCGTCATAGCTCACAGCAACCTCCAACTCTTGGGCTGAAGTGATCCTCTTGCCTCAGTTTTTTTCTATTTTTAGTAGAGATGGGGTCTTGCTTTTGCTCGGGCTGATCTGGAACTTGTGAGCTCAAGCAATCTACCTGCGTTGGCCTCCTACAGTGCTAGGATTACAAGTGTGAGCCACAATGCCCAGCCTAGTCTGCCAAACCTTTTTTTGTCTTTTTTTTTTTTTTTAATTTGAGACAGGGTCTTGTATCCTCAAGCTCCTAGCTTCAAGTGATCCTCTTGCCTCAGCCTCCCGAGTAGCCATGACTCTAGGCAACAGCCACCATGCCTAGCTAACTTTTGTATATTTTGTAGAGATACGGTCTCTCTGTGTTGCTCAAGCTGGTTTTGAACTACTGGCTTCTAGCTATCCTCCCACCTCCGCCTGCCAAAGTGCTGGGATTACAGGTGTGGCCCATTTTGAACCTTTTTTATGTGCACAGGTCAGTGGCATTGTTCACATTGTTAAGCAGCCATCACCACCATCCATACCCAGATGTTTGTCATCTCCCAAACCGAAATCCATTAAACAATAACTCCTTATGCTTGTATTTCTCTTGGCCCCTGGCAACCACCATTCTCCTTCCTACCTCTATGAATTTGGCTACTCTAGCTACCCATGTAAGTGGAACAATACAATATTTGTTTTTTTGTGACTGGTTTATTTCACTTAGTGTAATGTCTTCAAGGTTCATCTATGCCAGTGGTTCTCAACCTTCCTAATGCCACGGCCCTTTAATACAATCCCTGTGGGTCATGACAGGTTGAGAACTGCTGATCTGTGCCGTCCTGTGTGCCAGAATTTCCTTTTGAAGGCTGGATAATATTTCATTGTTGGGATATACCACGTTTTGCTGCTAGTCTGCTTTTTATTATCACCCAGGCACTGCAAGTCTAAGTCATATCCTCTGTAAAATGCTTATTACCTCCCCCTACCCCCACCACTGCCACTATTTGCTTTTCCTAAAGGTTTCATAGAGAGGCGTGGGAGAGGGTTTTATATCTTGCCCAACAAAATTTTCTGGAGTACCTCTAAACATCTGTTATTTTCTAAAATTTCTTCTCCCTTGGGCAGCTTGTCCCCTCCCTTCTCTTTGTCACAGCAGTCCTTTTCTCAGCACCTTCTGTCCCTTCTGTCTACATTTCTGTTTCATTTATTGGTTGCCAAGGAGAGTCAGGCCCCATTTGAAAGACTGGTTTGGATGTAGAAAGGAGACACATTGAGTGTGAGTATGTGTAAGGCCTTGGGTGTGATGGGCTTGGGCTGGCCCCTTCCAGCTCAGGGGCAGGCAGAGATTGTCTTTAGACCTTGGACCTCTGAGTACGGATATGCTATCCCAGGTGAAGCTTCCTTTACAGCATGGATTGCTCCCTGAACAGGAGTAGGGTCACTTGCTTGTAAAAACTGTGCTTTGAGTGGAGGTTGGAAAGTTTGTATGTGTTTATGAAAAATGACCAAATGCTTCTAAAACAGCCCATCTTTCTCTTTTTAAGTTTGGTGTGATTTTTGCTGGTGCCCAGAAGAATGTTGGCTCTGCTGGGGTCACCGTGGTGATCGTCCGTGATGACCTGCTGGGGTTTGCCCTCAAAGAGTGCCCCTCAGTCCTGGAGTACAAGGCACAGGCCGCAAACAACTCCTTGTACAATACGCCTTCATGTTTCAGGTAACTCTGGGACACGGCATTAAGGGGGCTCACTATTGCCCATCAAAGCAGAGGTGGCATTTTAAAGTAGAGCATGCTTCCATGATGCCTGACCCAACAACCCCAGATGTCCTGTTCGGATTCTCTGCCTTACTCGTCTCTCTCTCTCGACCCTCTGTCCACTGTTTGATCAGTGTTTCTTCCTGCCTTTGTGAGGGGGAGTGGTGGCATTTTTTTGTTTGATCTTGGTAATCCAGGCCTTGGTGGTTCACCATTAACCCAAAAGCCCTCTGTAAATGAGCCGTGGCCTACATCTCAAACTGCTGAGGTAGCTTTGGAGAGGAGCTTTCAGTGGTCTAGCCTCTTTCCTTTCTTTCCCTGCTGGGCCTGTATGAAGCTGGCCGGCTGGCTGTTACTGGATGGGAAACGCCTTTCTGTTTTTTAACCCAGTCTGCAGAGGTCCTGTCAGCCTGGCATCCTTTTAGCTGAGAGAGGGGCTGCATTGCAGTGGGTCAGGGAGAGCAAGGTGACGCTGTCTCAGTGTCTCCAGGAGCAATAATAGGACCCTCTTCACTGGGTTGCTGTGGGGCCTAAATGAGTTGATCGATAGGTAGATAAAGACACATATTTCTTATTTTTGTGCTTTTAAAAAATTTTTAATCAATTTTTGTTATTATTTTTAGAAACAGGCTATAGTGCAGAGGCATAGTCTTGTTGTTGGAGTCTGCAACATCAAACTCCTGGGCTCCAGCAATCCTCCTGCCTCCACCTCCTGAGTAGCTGGACCTACAGATGTGTGCCATCATGCCTGGCTAATTTTTCTGTTTTTTATTTTCAATTTTTATAGAGGTAGGGTCTTACTGTGTTGCCAAGGCTGGTCTTGAACTTTGGCCTTAGGTGATTCTCCTGCCTTAGCCACACAAAGCTGGGATTATAGGAGTGAGCCACCATTCCCAGGCTATTTTTGCACTTAGTTCCTGGCATTTGGTAGTTTGTACAGGTTAGTTGCTACATTATTATTATGGTGGTGGTTGTTAGTTCCTGCAGCAGGAGTGGACATGGGGGAAGAACCGGAGTTTATGGATTCATCTTTGCAGGGCAGATAAGATGTAAAACAGTGGCACTTTATGTGTGTAACCTTTTAAGCCTCCCAGTCACCCTAGGAGTAGGTACTGTTACTGTTTTAGGAAGGGGCATAGTGGGATGTGAACCCAGGCAGCCTGACTCTAGATCCTGGGCATGTGCACTCTGCACTGGACACAAGCAAAAGGGTGAGCATGGATCTGCATGAGTGAAGGGTTCTGCGTTAGGATAGACGCAGCTGAAGTCCAGCTTGTCCACTGAATGGGATTCTTCTGTGATGGGTGGAATTTCTCTTAAGGAAGTGGATACAGGAAGGGGCGAATACAGGAGGTGGTTCCATCTGGAGCAGGACCTTGTCAGTGCCCCTCCCTCCTTCCTCCAGCCCCCCCCCCCCCACCGCCCCGGCCAGGGTTTCTGTGTAGTTACATGATACAGAGCAGCTTCTCACTTTGGGTCCCCTGCTTTCCTTGGGGAATAGGTCGGACATTCCAGGGTGAGCTCTCTTAGTCACCTCTGAACCCCACTCTCTTTCACCCAGACTGAAATTGTTTCTCAAATGCATGTTGGGGTGGGGCTAAATTTTGTCTCCAACTTGCCTGTCCTACCTCTGGAGTTCTGGGCAATGGGTAAACACCAGTGGTTTCTTGCCATTCATGAGCAATGGCAGGCTGGGGACCTCAAGTGCCAGGCTCCTAGAGAAGGGCCATGGCTCCAAGGTGGCAGGAGAAGGGCTGCCTTTCCCTCTTTACCTGTTGGAAGGTGGGGCTAGGGCCTGCCCACCGGTGGGGTGAGTGTTTCAGGGATGCTGAAGCTGCCACTGGCTTTAGCAGTGAGGAGGTGGGAGGAGACAGAGAAAGAGTGCTGTCTCGGAAGAACTGTCCCATGGCCTACAGGCCTGCAAGCTGTGGTCAGGGCCCAGCCCAGAGATCCTGCGGCACACCCTCCAAGCGTTACCTTTAAGAAATTTAATGAACTGGCTCGGCGCCCATAGCTCAGTGGTTAGGGCGCCAGCCACATACACTGGGGCTGGTGGGTTTGAACCTGGCCAGGGCCTGCTAAACAGCAATGACAGCTACAACAACAACAACAAAAAAATAGCCGGGCGTTATGGTGGGCGCCTATAATCCCAGCTACTTGGGAGGATGAGGCAAGAGAATCATTTAAGCCTATGAGTTTGAGGTTGCTGTGAACTGTGACGCCATGGTACTCTACCAAGGGTGACATAGTGAGATTCTGTCTCCAAAAAAAAAAGGAAAAGAAAAGAAAAAAAATGTAATGAACACCTTAACACTCTGCTTGTCAATATTAGGGTGGAAACCCCTTAGTGGTGACAGTGAGAAAACAGGCCAGTTGGTCTAATGGGAGATGAAAATAGCTGGAGTCAGATTTGGAGACATGGAAAGAAAGTTGTCTCCTAGAAGAGTGACCTTCTTATACAGGCCCTCCCTTACCAGCCCTTGGGTGGCCGTGGCCTGGCCTTGACCGTTGGCTCAGCTCGTCCACGGGGAGTGTGGGCACAGGGTAGGGAAAGCGTAGGAACTTTCTTTTCAGACCATTTCTGGCTGAGCCAGAAACAAGGGCAGAAGAGGGGCAAAGTTTCTTTCCCAGAAAAATAAAAACAGCAATAATTAAGACCAGGTCAGGGCCATTCAGGATTGATAATATGCTTAGAATCATGTAAGTGGAGAAGATGAAAGATACTGGATTAAGTGCATTCTGACCAAGTTCCAAGTTGCTTTGCTTTCTTTTACCTCAAAAGAATAGGGGGAAAGTTTGGTATAGTTCTGTATGATTAAGGAATAACCTTAAATCTGTGATGTTAAAGAGCATTCACTTGGAGTACCTCAGTCACACGGTTAGAAACTCCCAGCTCACCCAATGAGAATAATCTCTAAATGGAGACAAAGATTTATGCAAAATAACCTCCCCAGTCCTTGAACTTAAGGCTCACAAGGCACCCAGAACACTCCAGAACTTGGTATTGTATAGTAAAGTCTTTGAAAAGGTCCCAAGTTTGAAAAGATACTGGGTTTTGTTTTGTTTTGTTTTGTTGTTCGGAGCCTAATGACCACAGTCCTGGGAACTTTGGTTTAACTCAGCTGGATAAAATGGCCTTCAAATAGCTTCTCTGCAGCCCTGAGCAATGCGCTGGGCTGGAATAAAGGGCCCACTGTCTTTCTCTTTAACCCTTCAGGAGAACATACTAACCTCAGTTAGTGGATAAAGAAAGAGAGGCTTAAATTTTTCTTTTTTTTTTTTTTGCAGTTTTTGGCCAGGGCCGGGTTTGAACCTGCCACCTCCAGCATATGGGGCCGGCGCCCTACTCCTTTGAGCCACAGGCGCCTCCCCGAGGCTTAAATTTTTCTTTTGATCCCACAAAATGGTTTTTACCTACTATGACTAACCCACAAGCACACATTTGTTTTAGCGGCAGTGTGAGGTTACATAACTAACGTAAATACGAAACGTTAACTCAGGCCACCTTTGTTGAGAATGGGAGCAGCCGACTAAGGCCATGTGCTTATTCCCAAGGCTTCTCTGGCCCAGACTGCTTCCCCCTGGATGGGATGGGGGAAGCCTGCGGTCCTGGAATCGTGCGTGCATGTGGGCATGTGTATAGTGGAATCAGCTTTGGGAGCTTGGTGGTTACTGTCATGTATTTCTGAGAGAGAGGTGCCAGAACATCGCCTGTGGTTGCTCCTGTACAGAGCCAGAATCTTTAGAATAGCCAGAAGGTTTTCTGGGGGCACTTTCTGGAGTGCTTTTCTAAGGGCACCCAGGGAATATTTTGTATTGCTTTTAAAAAATTTATAAATGTGACAGATTCTCTTAGTGAAGAATTCCAAGTGAGCAGAGTCCCCAGGGTAACCACTGTCAACTGTTTGCTGTGCATCCTGACGACCTGTAACTGGGTCTGTGCCAGTAGACAGAGCCGTGTGTGTAGTATTCCCAAGGTGACGGGCTCAGCATAGGAAGTGACTGCACTGGCATTGGGAGCCCATATCCTAACCCCAGAGCCACACTGCCTCTACCGCGGGAAGGCTCTGAGCTGGGGCCTGTGGGTAGAAAAGGCTTCCAGCTTTCCAAAACCATAGAGTCAAAACAGGCACACAGCAGCTAACGTAAAGGAGGCGAGTGGTAAGGTCTGTGTAGGTAGTAGGCGCTCTGGGAGCTCAGGAGATGAAGTGCTCGCTCTGGGTGGTGCCCCGTGGTGGGGGAGGGAAGTGCATAAAGGGTGGCATGAAGAGTTTGGTGAGACCCTAATTAAGCCTCTTTTTCTGAGTGGTCCTTGGGGATCTAGAATTGGGTTGAGCCTAGTTCTTACCTCCTGACCTGTTCTTTCTTGTTCACATGTACCCTGCTTTCATCTTGTCTATTCTAATGATGTCTTTAAGTCTTTTTTTTTTTTTTTTTAATGAGAGACTCTTATTCTGTCATCCTGGGTAGAGTGCCATGTTATCATAGCTCACAGCAACCTCCAACTCCTGGGCTGAAATGATCGTCCTGCCTCAGCCTCCCAAGTAGGTGGGACTATGGGTGTATACCAAGATGCCTGGTTAGTTATTCTGTTTCTAGCAGAGATGGGTCTGGCTCTTACTCAGACTGATCTCAAGCAATCTATCCACCTCAGCCTTTCAGAGTGCTAGGATTATAGGCATGAGCCACCATGCTGGGCAAGTCTGTTTTAATACAACCTAAACAATTTGCTTGAATATCTTTAGACCTTTGCAAAGCTGAACTAAATGGATTTTTTTTTTAATCTTTATTTTAGCATCTATGTCATGGGTGTGGTCCTGGAGTGGATTAAGAATAATGGAGGTGCCTCAGCCATGGAGAAGCTTAGTTCCATCAAATCTCAAATGATCTATGAGATCATTGATAATTCTCAAGGATTCTATGTGTAAGTCAATGGATTTATTTCACATTTAGCATCTTGTGAGTTTAAAACTGTACTGTGTATTTCTAAAAAATGGACACATTCATCTTTCTTTGACGTTGAAGTGCTGGTGAGCCTGGGTGGTCCTTGGCCCAATGAGCAAGGGAGGAGCTGCTCCCTACTGCACCCCACTGCACCCCACCTTGGGACTCCCTGGTTTTGGGACCTGTGTCCCAGTGGGTAGTGGCATTTCTCACACTAAAGACATTGCCCTGGGGAACATTCACAGTTCACCCTCTAGGGTAGATCTCCTGTGTGTCTCTTGGGGAGAAAATGTATGTGCTTTCTGGAAGGTCTCAATTAAAGGGCTGCTGTTAGAGACCTTGGGTATAAACACCCAGTCCTGGCTCCCCCTTCTCCATATTCCCTTGTTAAGAAAGTTCACTGCTTTCCCCCCCAGCCCTCCCACCTTTTTTTTGAGACAGAGTCTCAAGCTATTGCCCTGGGTAGATTCGGGGTGGCATCATAGCTCACAGCAACTTCCAACTATTGGGCTCATGTGATCCTCTTGCCTCCGTTTTTTTATTTTTAGTAGAGACAGGGTGAGGCGTGGTTCTCGCTTTTGCTCAGGCTGGTGTTGAACTTGTGAGCACAGGCAATCCACCTGCCTCCGCCTCCCAGAGTGCTAGGATTACAGGCATGAGCCACCACGCCCGGCCTACAGCTTCCCTTCTAATAGGACAGATAGTCCCGTCCCAAGCCTGCAGTCTGTGCATGGAATTGGCAGTGGCTCCGGGAGGGCCACAGAAGATGTATGGGTCTTGTGTTTGTTTTCTAGGGCCGCATAACAAAGTACTGTAGACTTGGTGGCTTAAAACAACAGAAGTTTGAAAGCAAGGTGTCAGCACGGTTTTGCTCCCTCCAGAGACTCAGAAATCCCTTCCTTGCCTCTGGCTTCTGCCAGCTCCAGGTGGTCCTTGGCTTGTGGCTTCATCACCCAGTGTGCACCTGTCTTCATGTGGTCTTTTCCTTTTTGAATATGTCCGTCCTTTCTTCTTGTAGAATGATAGATCTTTGGATTTAGGGCCCACCGAAGTAATTCAGGATGATTACACCTCAAAATCCTTAAAACACCTTTTTTATTCTAAATAGGTCATATTCCCAGATATTGAGGGTTAGGACATGGGCATTCCTTTTCAGGGGCCACCCACAACAATGGTCCCTTCAATGCCAGAGGGAAAGCCAGGGATACAGAAGTCTAAAAGATTATCATCTTCTTTTGCTTTCCCTTTGCCTCAAGGCGGGTGTAACTTTATGCTGTGTGCATGTATGTGAGCACATGTATACATGTAAACACACACACAGAAACACTTACCTTGCTTAGCACGCTGGGACACTAACCCCCCAACCCCTATTATAGGGTTCAATTTGTTGTAACTAAAATACTTGCCAGACAGTAACTGGGGAATTTGTACTGTCTTTGAGAATTCAGGGTCCACATGAAACAGACAAAGTGATGCCTCACTCCTAAGTTAGAATTCTATTTTTTAGCCAAGACTTGCTAACAGATGTCTGTAACCACCCATGGGCAGGGCATGGGGGTGTGCCCTTTAGACAGCATGCTGCTGCCACCTCTGTGCTTAAATGCTTGTTTCCTGCTCCTGTGAGTCCTTGGCTCATGGTGGCCCTCCAGCCATAAGCCCTGGGGGAGTCAGGTTTGGCTGGGCTCCCTGGCCTTTAGGCTGCTCTCTCACGTGCCATCTGGAGGAAGGGTGTACACTGTATGTTACCCCCTGCTCTGTGGTTCTGTGCAACAGGAAGCAAATATAGGCTGGGGTGGGAGGCTGGTCCTGTGGAGCTTCCACCCTCAACCCTGATGTGTGGGTGGGGAGGCTCCTGAGTACCTGCTCCAGGCTGGCCCTGTGCTAGGCTCCTGGGACACCCAGAAGAATAAGCCATCTGCCCTGGCTCCGTCTGTTTCTCAAGAGATTTTTACACATGAAACTGGCGGTCAGAAGGAATGGTGATACCTCCAGGGAAAATCCAGGGAATTAGAAAGCAGAAAGAGCTCTGGGAATCTCCTGAGGTTCCCCCACCCCTGGTCCTTTAACTCCAAACATGCAACCTGGTCGCCCTTTCCCCGCAGACAGCCTGCCGAGCTCACACTGCAACCAGGTCACCTCCTGGAGAAGCTGGTCACCCTTTGCACCCAGGATGCCTCACACATTTGTAAATAGGTTAACCCAGGACTTGTATCCTCTTAAATCTCTCTGGGAACTTCCATCACCTCCTCGGCCGCCTGCCTAGAAAATGTCACGCAGGGATCGTGATGTCCTGTGGGACCTCGTTACTCTTTCCTCTATTTACAGCTGGAAGAGTCACTAGCTGTTCCTGAATGTACTTGGGTTTTCAGGAAATTCTTCACTTTCCTAACTATGGAAATAGTTCAGCAACGTGACCCCGAAAAGGAAGTAGACAATAAAAGAGGAGGGAGGTAGAATTAGAATTTGCAAGTTATCACTGCCATTAGGCCTTTCTCTTGTCTTCTCACTTCTCTCCCACCCTCCATGCCCTACTCATAGGCAGCTGCTTCACTGAGTACAGTCTGGATGGTTTGCTGGGGATTGCACCAGCCCTGCCAGTGACCTGGCAGGGAACTCTTGAGACTAGATAAGACAACCATTGAAGCCCTGAGTTTATTCCATAGCCTGACCATTCATACAGTGCTGGCTGACCCCAGGTTGAGCCCCCATGGACAGTTGCCACTTACTAGCATGTGACTGTGGGCAAATGACCTAACTGTTCTAAGCCTCAGTTTCCTCATCTGTACAATGGATATAATAACGGCACGTGCTTCTTAATGACTATCATGAGGATTAAATGGAAATGCATGTGAATAAAGAGTATGTAATACAGGAATTGAGAGCATAGGCTCTCATACTGGTTAATTTGTATGAAGTGCTATAAATAGTTCTTGGCACATAGGGAGCCTTCCTTGAGTGTTAGCTGTTACTATTTGTAGTTATTATTATAGACAGCAATTAAGATGTTCCTGACACAGAGTACTTAATATATAGTAGATATTAATTTTATTCTTATAAGACTGTCCAAGTGACAGATTCCATATCTGGATCTGGAACCTAGGGCACCTTTGTCACCTAGTCCTGGGATTACCCATCTGGTTCTGCACCCACCTGGACCTCAGTCAGTTGGCCCCTTCTGCTCCCTCACACCTTAGGGGAGAGAGGGAGGCATGTGATGGGTCTCATGAAGACCCCGAAGTGAAATGAAGCAGGTGGGGCCCCAGGCCTTTCCACACACATATACGTCTTGTTATCACATCACTTTCCTGTGAAGTGGACACCCTGTGTAGCAGGCACAGCTGGAAAGTGGGATCAGCCAGGATGTGAATGTGGAGGTGGGGGGTATCATGGGAGTCTCATTCTGGAGCCCGTGCTGTACAAGTCTAGGAGAGCAGGAGGCCTTCCTGAAGCAGCCATAGAACTCAGAAGCCATGCAGTAAAAGATGGCATATTTAACTACACAAAAACATGAAGCTTTTTACAGTTTAGGACATTTTAAACATAATTAAAATATAAACACGACAGACAAGAGAAAGATTTTTTTATTAAGACAGAAAAGTTACTATCCAACAAATGAAGAAGGATCACCAAATAAAAGTGGGGACTTATTTGGGGAAGGATCACCAAATAAAAGTGGGGACGGGGGTGGTTGCTGGGGGTCTGAGCAAACAGCTAAGAAGAAATACACCTGCTTAATAGACAAACAAAAAGATGTCTGACTTCATTCATTCTTTAGGAAGTGTAGATTAAAACCATGAGATATTTTTTCCTTTGATCTGCAGACATCAAAATGATGATAACCTCTAGTGTTGGCAAGGGACTGTGCTTTTGGTGAGAGTATAAATCTAGACAAACTTGGGGCAAAGTTTGCAGCACTCATCAAAATTTAAAACTCACATGCTCTTTGATCAAGGATTTTTATGTCGGGGCCCCTGCCTGGGTGCAGTGGTGTACACAGAATTAGGTACAAGCATGTCCAGTATGGGATGTAACAGTGACAACCTGGAGACATCCCATCTGCCCATCAGGAGGGGTCTGATGAAGGAATTGAGAATCGTTGGCAGTACAGAATCATGTGTACACAGAGAAGAATGAAACAGATCTCTGAGCACACTTAGGAAGAGGATCGTGTTACTCATATGTCATCAGGTCAAAAAGAGAAAGAGCAATTGTAGAAAAGACTTACCTGTTATTAATAGACCCCCACAGCAGTTCTGTGTGCACACATAGACGTGTATAGACCCACACGTCTTGTGTATGTAAAGTGAGCTTGAAACACTCACACCAGACTGTTAACAGTAGCCACTTTTTTTTTTTTAATTTTATTCATTTATTTATGTGGGGTTTTTGGCCAGGGCTGGGTTTGAACCACCACCTCTGGTATATGGGGCTGGTGCCCTACTCCTTGAGCCACAGGTGCTGCCCCAACGGTAGCCACTTCTGAGGAAAGGGGATGGAGATCTTCCTGTTTTTCCTCTAGATTTTTGTAGTTCTGTACAAATTTAATTTTTCATTAACAAAACCGAGCAGTAAGAGCCCTGTGGTTATGTTTGGTGGGCTTCTCTTCCCATGCGCTCTTATTCTTCATTCCCTTTGTTTCTGGCATAGCCTTTCGGGGGGACAGATTATGACATGAATGTCTCATCATTAGTCGCCTAATTCCTGTGACTTCCTCACCTGCCCTTCCGACCCCTCCCGCCTTCCTGAGGTGAATGTCTCTGGCTGAAGCGGTACCTTTCCTCACATTCCTCTCCCGATAACTTGGGAGGGCCTGGTGTTTCTCAGAGGGGGACCTCTGGAACACCGTTCCCTGCAGCAGGAGGGGTTTTCAGCCGCCTGTGTTCCAGGAAAACTGCGTTCCTGTCCGACCTCCAGCGGTTCATTATTTATACCAGCATGAGGGGCTGCAGGAAGTCAGGAGTAAAGAAACCTCCCAGCCCTGTTAATGCAGGACTTCCTAATTTTCTCAGGCCTTGTGACCACTTTTCCAGCAACGCTTATTGGCACCTTCCACGTCAGCTCCCCATTTAGATTTTGGGAAGCCCCTCCTTTGCTCTGGCTCTCGCTCAGACTATCTCCTTAAATCTCTGTAGTCCTGGGATTACCCATCTGGTCCTGCACCCACCTGGGCCTTAGTCAATTGGCCTCTTCTGCTCCCTCACACCTCAGCCCTTCAGGCAGGAATCTTGGCTGCCTCTGAGATTTAGAATTCACCTCAGAGGTTGCAAACTGGGAGTGTGGCCAGATCCAGTCTACAGTGACATTGGACGTGGCTCACCCTGTGTTTGTAACTGCAATTTAAGCCAATATTAAGATACTGAGAGATACTTAAAAATCCAGGTTTGTTATTTAATAATCTGTTTGTCTCTGAAAATGGGTACAGAGACTTTGATAAGGAGGTCCATATGTTTCAGGAAAAAGAGGGCGCCTCCTTCCCTGTGACAGGAAAGAATAGTCCCCTGTAGGTAACAGAGGGAGCTGGCATGGAGCCTTCCTGTTCTCCTGATTGATGTGTGTTGAGGGGCCCTTTCCCTCTCACCTTGAAAGTTCTCCATAAGAACAGGTGTCTCAGCCTCCCAGTTTCTTTACCCCACAATCTCTCCTCTGGGTGCCACAGTTAGGTTTCTAAAACACAGCCCTCATTTGGTGGTGCAGACTTGACTGCTGCCCTCTCAAGGGTCCAGCCTGGTCGGCAGCAGAGCACAACCACAGGGCCCTGTACAGCCCAGGCCCTGTCCATCTCAGCTACCTTGGCCGGAGAAGCCAGCACCCCTGTTACGGCAGCAAACTTGCGGGGGCCCCTGCACCTTTGTAGGTGCAGTTCTCTGCCAGAGGGCCTGCCTTATTCTCATCCATCCTAACTCCTCACCTCCCTGCCTCTGAAACCTGTCAACCTTCTCCCACAGAATCACTCACCCGGCTCTCCGCCTTTTGCAGCCCTTTGCTGTTAGGACACTTCTCCCGTGGAGTTGTGATTCACTAAATTAGGAGCCGTGAATTCTTCTTACACTCGCTCTCTCCTTTTCTCCTCAGCCCGGTGCTAGAGACATACTGCTGTGGGTACTGTGCACATATCCATGGCGAGGTGGTGTCGTCTTTCATGTCTGGCTTTTATGACAGTATTGCTTCATGGTGTCTTCTATCTTCATGATGGGATGAGTAAACTTAGGGGGAGTGAATTGTAAATGCAGATTCTTAATTTTTCCTCGTTGTAATTTTTTTTTTTTTTTGGTAAATGTGCTTTTTGTCCCTCTACCTCTGTGGTTGGACCCTCACGTTGGGAGCCTGAGACAGCAGAATAGCAAAAGAGGGTCACCACTGAACGTTTCTGTATCAGCCAGGAAACCGACCACCTGGTGGAATTCAGACTCAGAGTTGATTCCGGATGGTTGGGCCCCTGTTTGCCTTCCTTCTGCCTGAAGGTGTGCGTTTGACTCCCATTAACTGGAGCAGGAATTATGGATGTGCCTTCAAGGGACTTCTCACACTGCTTTTATTTGCAGTTTAACTTTAATGAATCCCATTTGTAAAGTGTAAGCATAAAATAGGATGTGCTTGATAAAAGGGGAAGAGAGAGGATTTTTATATGTGCTTTTTAAAAATTCCAGAGTATCAAGTCAGCGCTTCTTCCATTTGTCTCTTTTGGTTGCCAATGAAAAATAATTTTGGCTGCTTATTTTCCACATCAGAAAGTGAAGGCAAATACTAACCTTTCGTAAACAAAAATTCAGTCATCATTCTTTTTTTTTTTTTTTTTTTCCTTTGAGACAGAGTCTCACTGTCGCCTTGGGTAGAGTACTATGGCATCATAGCTCACAGCAACCTACAACTCCTGGGCTCAAGCCATCCTCTTGCCTCAGCCTCCTCAGGAGCTGGGACTACAGATGCCCACCACAATGCCTGGCTAGTTTTTCTATTTTTAGTAGAGACAAAGTCTCACTCTTGCTCAGGCTGGTCTCAAACTCTGGAACTCAGGTGATCCACCCACTTCAGCCTCCCAGAGTGCTGGGATTACAGGCATTAGCTACCGTGCCTGGCCCATCATCCACTTGGAGGGTCTGTATATGCCTTCTGCAAGGTGTTGGGAATTAAAAAAAAAAAACAACAAAAACGCTGAATTTATTGCACTTAAAATTTATATAGCATTCAAATTAAAATGTACCACATACTGCTTTAAATTTTATCAGTTATCTATTTCTTTGTCATAGAATATCCCAAAACTTAATGACTTGACCACCATTTTCTTTGCTCATGATTCTCTGGGTGGTGGGTTATGCTGAACTCAGCTATATGGACCTTCTGCTGATCTCAGGATCCCTCATTCCACTGAAGTCACTTGATGGCTCATTTGAAGCCATCTGGTCTAAAATGGTTTCACATATCTGGCAGTTGGTGCTGGCTGTTAGCTGGGACAATTAGCCCACTAGCTCAGACTGGTGCCAGGAATATTTTGTGGCAGCAATATTTTAAGGGAACAAAAAGAGGAGCTGAACGGCCTCTTGAGGCCAGTGTGTCGAAGTTACACTCACTTCTGTCCTAGGCTCTTGGGTAAAGCAAGTCACAAGGCTAGCCCAGATTTGAAAAGTAGAGAACTAGACTCTACCTCAAAACTTTTAAATGGGCCACAGAAATTCTCTATGAATAGTGACTTACTTAATTCTCACAAGAATTTCAGTAAGTTCCATTATTATTTCCACTGTGCAGATGAGGAAGATGAGGCACAGTGGGAGCTTAAGTAACTTGCTCAAGGTCACACAGGTTGGTGTTGTGGTGCTAAGTCCTCCAAAAGTTGCTGCCTCTTACTTTTGTCTTGCAGCTGCGATTAAGAAGAACGTAGTTCTTTGTGGCAGGTGCCTATAATCCCAGCTACTTGGGAGGCTGAGGCGAGAGAATTGCCTATGCTCAGGAGTTGGAGGTTGCTGTGAGCTGTGATTCCATGGCACTCTTCTGAGGGGCTTATGATAAAGTGAGACTCTTAAAAAAAAGAGTCTCTTAAAAAAAAAGAACAACTGATTTCTCTGCAGCTTTACCTAGAAAGGGTCATTTACATTTGCTGTGTGGCTGCCATGGGTTGGAAGCTTCATATATGTTGTACCACTGAGCTGTCTCAATTAGTCTGAGATAAAAGTATTACTATTCCAAATATTCAGAGGAGGAAACTGAGGCTTAATGAAGTAAAGTATAAGTTGTAGAAGAGGACACTAGACTACTGTTCCATGTGCAAGAGTCTGGTCTTTCTGGTAAATTATAAATGTTCTAGTTTTTTTTTTAATCTGCCTGCCTGCATGTAGAAAATGTTTTTCATAAATCTGTTAATTTGTTAATGACAACCTGTACATTAACAACCTGAAAAGTAGCTAAAATAATAAAAATGTTTTTCAGATGTCCAGTGGTGCCCCCAAATAGAAGCAAGATGAATATTCCATTCCGCATTGGCAGTGCCAAAGGAGATGACGCTTTAGAGAAAAGATTTCTTGATAAAGCTCTTGAACTCAATATGATCTCCTTGAAAGGGCATAGGTGAGTGAACCTCCAGTCCACAAGCTCCTCAGAGAATTGGCTTAGGTTTTCATATGTGGAAAGAAATAAAAGTAGGAGCCTGCTTAACTTGGAGTAGCAGTTAGGTAACTTGTCGGGCAAAGCTGCTGTGATGGGCGTGCCTCCTCCTGTTGTAATGGAACCCTTCACACGATTCCCCAACCGAGGGCACAGTGGAGCTGCGTCTTCCGTGGGAGTGTTGCCAGAATTACCTCTGAAAACCTCAACTGCTCATATGGCACAGAGGTTGCCAGCACATCTCTGATAAGGCTGGTATCACCCCATTCTCGTGTTAGAACATCACTGTTACTCCAGCTGAACCAGACTAGTTAATCTTGCATGATCTATGAAAAATAAATGTCCTCACACCTGAGAACAGCAGCAGTGAGATGCTTACTTCACCCGCATGCTGTGCATGGCAGGCTCAGGAACGGTGTGGGGAGCAGAGCTGCCGTCTTCATCCGACTGGTCCTTTCTTCCCCCTATCTTATTTGTTTGTTTATTTATTTATTTGTTTTGCCAAGAGTCTGTAGGTTGAATGAATCTAAGTTAAATGTTAGCATGTGAGCCTTCACTGCATAAAGGAGAATTTTCTAGTGACTTAGATGTGGGAAGGTCTTTGCCACTTGTCGAAGATTTTCAGCTGGGAGATTGGACATGATGGTCTCGGTCACTATAATTCTTAAGAGCTGGTGACTAGAAAAAGAGTCATTTTGGTGCTAACTTAGATGCTTTTGTTTTTAATGGTCGGCTCTTTGTTCATTCCAGGTCTGTGGGAGGCATCCGGGCCTCTTTGTATAATGCCGTCACAATTGAAGATGTTCAGAAGCTGGCTGCCTTCATGAAAAATTTCCTGGAGATGCATCAGCTATGAACACATCCTATCTAGTCTATACTCTGCCCTTGAATGACATATACAATTTAAAGTATCTTGGGAATGGCTACAAAAATTTAACAAATACAGTATTTTTCTCAAGTGAACATGCTTATTCTAGATTCTTTTTTTTCAAAGAAAAATAGCAGAACATCCACAGCTCTGCCGAGCTGGTGGGACCTAATGGCCACTTTAATTATGACTTGAACTGGAAGCCTTTTTATGAATTTCCTCTTGCTTTTCTAATGAATTGCAGCTTACTTTGTCCCTGCTGCTGCTTTTTCTAGCTAGAGCTCAGAATTCAAATGTACCTGTGGACTTAATAATGTGGGCTGCAATTAATTATTTTTGGAATTGTGGAAACACACAGCATGGAGGGTGGGTGGGGCCCTCTAGGTGCTAAATTTAGACAGGAGTGGGGTCTTCCAGGTTCTGTAGCTGTTGATCAAAGTCAGCACTGATCATTTGGTGAGCGTTCGGGAGTACCAGTCAAAAGGGCAAACCGTAGATCTTTATACTGTTATTCACGTAAACAGATAAAAGTGACATCTGACAGGGTGTCCCAGATGTCACAATAATGTGCGTAGGGAAAATGGGAAATTATAGCTAAATGTACCTTTATTCACAAAATATTCATTAGGAAATTTTATAAAATTGCACGTTGATATGTAAATATAAAAATATTAAAAATAAGAGTTTGTTAATTTTTCCTATATATGGCAGCCCTTGGGACACCCTGTAGGATTATATAGCGAGGTCTGTTTTTAACGCCATGTACTTTACATCTCTATGCATTATATTTCTAATAATACATTTCTCAGTGATAACCGGGTAGAGTCTTGTGGAATTTGTTAAATCCTTGACCTTGTGCATTGTAGCATCCTATTAGCAAGTCCTTTTTTTAAAAGCTGTTCCATGGAAAAGATCTAGAAGTTCTTGATTCATTTTTACTCTTCTTTCAGTAGGTAGCAGAGAAGGTTGTTTACGGCTTATTCTTGTTTGTTTTAAATATGCTGTTAAACTAAACATCTCTGTTAAACCCTATCTTTTGTTTTCTGTGTTTGACCAGAGTGATACTTTGAGTTCTAGATCTTTACTGAAATGCATTTCCCCCTATTGTTTATCAATTGTCAGTATTTTGTGTTGAATATGTGAAGAAGATTAAAGACTTAAAACATCTAAACCCATGTTAATGAATTTCTCTACCTGGTTTTCAGACACATGATTATTTTTTAAACATGATGGGGAAACGAGTCTAAAATAGTATCTAACAGGGGTAATTTAGTTCAACCACAGGTGTAAGACTTGAGTCTTGTACATTCATTTTTTACAGATGATTCAGCGCAGTGTGGTAGATTTCCATTTCCTTTTGGAATGTACTTTATCAGCAAACCACCTTCCATCACAGCTCAAGGTGTTAAGTTCTGTGAACTCTGTCCCACTTATCTCAGAGACACCAGCAGGACAGTTCTGAGCTATCTTCCCATTGCGTTTGTATAATGAGGACTCCACTGTTTTCTTTTCCCATCTCTGCACTGATTAGTTGGGTCCCCTGGTCAGGTCTCGGCCTCCCAGGCTTTATTCTCTTATCTGTAAATGGAGGGTTGAAATAATTCTCTCACTTGTCTCAGGTCAGGGATGGTAAGAGATTCTTTTTTAATTTTTAATTTTTTTAAACTTTAAGCCCATGTCATCAGAAAAAGATATTTAAAAATTTAAAACAAGGGCTTGATGTAGGATGTGAACAGAATAACCACAACCCATAAATACCAAAAGCCACGTCTAACTAATAGTGCTCAGCATCAGCCCCCCTCCCTTCTTACCCCTTCATATGTGGTTGCACGGCCCTGTTGTCTGTGCCAGACCGTTGCTTCTGGACTCTGCTTATTTCAATTCCCATTGCTGCAGCAGTCCTTCTGTGTCAGCCCTCCGTGGGTTGTTCGAGCAGCCTCATCTCTGCCCCATCCCCTCTCCTACCACAGCCAATGGACTTCCCCTCATGCTCCTTGCTGACGCATTAAAAAGCCCAGTCCTGTTAGCCCTACAGCAGAGCTGTGTAGCAGCTGGCCTGGCCTCTCCTCTCCCATGTTTGAGTCTTGGAATGTGGTGTGCATTTGCCAGTTCTACCATGTCAGCCTGGGGTTCCTGCCCCAGTCGGGAAGACCAGCCTTCACCACTCCTGCCAACCACTTCGTGACCTTGATTGTGTCTTTTGCATTAGGATGATGTTCCTTTTCTTTGTTCTCACCAGGGCAACCCTTCATCCCATCATGTTTCCATTTTTTCTTGAGACAGAGCCTCAAGCTATCCCCCTGGGTAGAGTACTATGGCATCACAGCTCACAGCAACCTCCAACTCCTGGGCTCAAGCGGGTCTCCTGCCTCAGCCTCCCAAGTAGCTGGGACTACAGGAGCCCGCCACAATACCTGGCTGTTTTTTGGTTGCAGCTGTCATTGTTTGGCAGGCCCAGGCTACACCTGCCAGCTCAGGTGTATGTGGCTGGCGCCTTAGCCACTTAAGCCACAGGCGCCAAGCCCAAGTTTCCATTTTGCCGTTTACTGTGCTGAGGTGGCTGTGTGTCTGCCTTCCCATACTGCAGCGTGGAAGGAACCAGGTTTTCCCACCTCCAGCTCCTGGAATCCCACCTTGCCTAGGTGAGGTGCCAAATAATTGCTTACTGAATGAAAAGGCTTAACATGGGTCCTATTGGTCTTCCTGAGTATTGTAAACTAGGCTTAGCATCAAGGAGGGTGGGTATAATCTCTCACATACATGGATTTTTCTTTTTAATATTTTCAGAAGCTTATTAGACAATACAATTTCACTTTCTACTAATAGTCAAGTGCAATTCTATCATTGAATAGGGAAATTTAGTCTTGAAAGGTCCCCTAAACCTTCTTCATAAACCTAAAAGCTTTTGGAAAATAGTTAACAACTGCCTAGAAACAAGGGGTAATCACCACTGTCTGGCCACATGGGGAGGTTCTGGAACCCAGATTGCTGGAAAATATTCATCAGAGTGAAAAACTTGACCTTTGTATGTCTCAAGGGAATAAATTTTTGCCAGTCTGCTGACAATGCAGAGAAGTGGAGGGGAGATAAAGGATGCTGGCTTCTGGGTCAGCGGGCTGGGGGAGCCAAACCAGCTGGTCTTCCTGAAGGTTAAAAACAAGGTAGATAAACAGGTGTCTCTGGGGCCTTGCAGAGGCTGCCTTATGTTCCTGTGAGGCCCACTAAATTGTACTTCTTCCCTAGCTTTGACACTTTATTTTTCTCTGCTACAATTCTTTACCACAATCATTTCTAGTGCCATCCAACTGAGAAAAAACAAATTTGTTCCCATGTTCCTTATGTTTACCTTCACACATCACTTTGTCTCCAACAATACAATTCTGTTCTTTGTCTGCACAAGAAACATAATTGTATCCTGTCCCTAACTCCTCAATCCCCTGCTAGTCTCTGTTTATTGAAATATCTAATGCTGTCTCATCACAATTTAGCTGATGCTGGAAGGTTTGGCGTGCTCTTAGGTGAACTATGTTAGGTAACAAATAATTAGTTCTTCCTTCTCCACCTTTAGAGCTGAAGGAGCCACCAAGACCCATAAAAATGAACAAGACACTTTGATATATTAGATGTTGTCCAATTCTGCCAAAGGCATTATCCGTTCTGGCCTTGTATCACTCCATGATTAATGTTTGTTATATTATGTTCTTTGGAAGGAAAATAAAATGAAGAAGAATTTTCTCACATTTGATGGGAATGAACATAATTAAAAAGTGAAATGCTACTGAGTCTGCTAAGAAATCAATCACTTTAATTGGAATGAAGATTCCTATCCTCTGTCGGTAATTGGGCTCTTGGTAATTTAGATTCAGAATCCATGACATTTTGTGATAAATTGGCTCCTTTTGGGCTGAAGAAGGTAAGAAGTTCTAATTACCCCTGGATTATTCCAGAGTGGATGGAAAGTCTTGATCAGAGAGATACACTGGGAGAGAGAGAGAGAAAAGCTAGCAATGTGCAAAGGTTTATTGAATTGAAGACACTAAAGAATAAAATTGTTCATTTGACACGACAGAAATAAGAGCTTGTGGTATTTGAAATCCTAGAGATGTAAATCGGATTTTCTAAGAAAATAGGGAACTGGGCATATTAGAAGAAGTTTGCGTATGTCGAGTTAGGTTATGAGGAAGACCTGCTTACTTGTGAGTGTGCACGAAAGTACTGGGGAAAAGTATGACTTTGTTCTTGGAGTGTTCAAACACAGAAGTAGTCTACACTAAGTTAAGGAAGGATAAAATGTCTTATTCAAGTGAAAAAACAAGTTAAGAATATGGGCAGGGCTCTAATGAATGAATCCCTTAGCCCTCCCTGGGTGGGTTTCCTAACCTTTGTTTCTATGCATATTGCCAAAGAGCACCAGAGGAATAGGTTGAATTTTAGGTTGGTGCACTGGATTATAAACTTGCTTTGAATTGTGTGTATTTTATATAGGTATATCTACATATCACATATCAAAATAGATGTAACTGGCTCGGCGCCTATAGCTCAACTGGCTAAGGCGCCAGCCACGTACACCTAAGGTGGCGGGTTCGAATCCTCAGCCCCGACCCGCCAAACAACAATGATGGCTGCAACCAAAAAATAGCCGGGCGTTGTGGCGGGCGCCTGTGGTCCCAGCTACTTGAGAGACTGAGGCAGGAGACTCGCTTGAGCCCAGGAGTCGGAGGTTGCTGTGAGCTGTAATGCCACTGCACTCTACCCAGGGGGACAGCTTGAGGCTCTGTCTCAAAAAAAAAAAAAAAAATAGATGTAACTTCAAACTCAACTTTCAAGCTTGAAAATGTTCAAGATTGGTAGAAGGGTGGCGGCACCCATAGCTCAGTGGGTAACACGTTGGCCACATATACCACGGCTGGTGGGTTTGAACCCAGCCCTGGCCTGCTAAAAACAAAAAAAATAGCCAGCTGTTCTGGTAGGTGCCTGTAGTCCCAGCTACTTAGGAGGCTGAGGCAAGAGAATCATGCCCAAGAGTTGGAGGTTGCTGTGAGCTGTGACGCTACAGCACTCTACAGAGGGCAACAAAGTGAGACTGTCTCAAAAAAAAAAAAAAAAGATTGGTACAAGGGACTCCTGTATAAGCTTCACCCAGATTGACTAGTTATTGACATTTAGTTTTGTTGGCTGTCGCATTTACTCTTTTCATTATATATACTTTATTTTCCTGAACTGTTTAAGTTGGCTGTATTGTGTCCCTTTATCTCTAGTATTTACTTCCTAGGAATAAGGACAATCACTTTTATAATCACTGCACACTTATCTAAACCAGAAATTTAATACTGATACGTCTAACTAATCTATAGTCCACATTCCAAATTTGCCAGTTATGTCAGTAACATCTTTTGCAGCTACATTTTTCATCATCTAGTCCACAGTCGTGTATTGCACTTAGCTGTCACACCTCTTAGTCAAACTATGAATTAGTCCTTCAGCCTCTCTAGTCTTCATGTTATTACCAGTTTAATGAGAAGTACAGGCCAGTTGTATAGAATGTCCCTCAATTTAGGTTTGTCCATATTTGTTTCCTCATGATTGTTTTTGGGTTATGCATTTCTGGCTGGGGTACCTTAGAAGTGATACGGTGTTTTCTCAGTACATACCAGCAGGAGACAATTAATGTCAATTTGTTTTACTGGTGATAGTATCTCTCATATCTTGGTTAAGGTGGTGTTTATGAGGTTTCCCCACTGTTATTACTTGTCTCTTTGTAATTAATAAGTAAATATGGGGAGGTATTTTGAGACTCTGTAAATATCCTGATCTATCATTCCATACAAAGGATAATTAATACAGGTGGAATTATTGGATGGGGAAGATGAGTGATTTATTCCTTATTTTCCACTAGTATTTTTACAACCCATCCCTCCTCCCCTCAAAAAACAAAACTCTTTAAAATATACAAGCAAAGATGTGCAAAAGAGTACACTGGGAAGTCAAAACCCAGTAGTTGGAGGATATATTTTCCAGAGCCCTGAGAGTAACCAACATATTTTGTGAGTATAAATAGTCTGGGCAAATGAGCTTTTTGGTGAACCAGGAAAGCACGGAAAGAATTCCCTGATCAAAATATAGGGAATTCAATTTATAGAGT